GGTTGTTTCCAGCTCCTTGCTATTGTGAACAATGCAGCAACAAACATAGGTGTGTATATGTCTGTTTGGGTGGCAGTTCTGATTTCTTTAGGGTATATTCCCAGTAGTGGAATTGGTGGGTCAAATGGTATTTCTAGTCTCAACTTTTTGAGAAAGTGCCATAATGCCTTCCATAGTGGTTGCACCATTTTACATCCCTACCCACAGTGAATAAGGGTTCCAGTTTCTCTACAACCTTGCCAGCATTTCTTGTTTCTGCTCTGTTGAAGTTTGCTACTGTCACTGGGGTGAGATGATATCTCATAGTTGTTTTGATTTGCATCTCTCTCAGAACTAGGGATTTTGAACATCTATTAAAAATTTGTGCCAAGAAATCTGGAGAACAACCACTTGGCCAACTGACTGGAAGAGATCTATATTTGTTCCCATTCCAAAGAAAGGTGACCCAACTGAGTGTGGAAACTACAGAACAGGGTCATTGATTTCACATGCAAGCAAGATTCTACTGAAGATCATCCAAAAACTATTAGAACAGCACATCAGTAGAGAACTGCCGGAAGTCCAGGCTGGGTTTAGAAGGGGTCGTGGTACTAGGGATATTGTTGCTGATGTTAGATGGATCTTGGTTGAAAGCAGAGAATACCAGAAGAATGTCTATCTGTGTCTCATTGATTATGCAAAGGCATTTGACTGTGTGGATCATAACAAACTGTGGCTGACTCTGAGAAGAATGGGAATCCCAGAACATTTAATTGTGCTAATAAGAAACCTATACTTGGACCAAGAGGCAGTAGTCAGAACAGAGCAAGGTAACACTGCATGGTTCAAAATTGGGAAGGGTGTACACCAGGGATGCATCCTGTCTCCATACCTTTTCAACATGTATGCAGAGCAGATTATCCGAGAGGCTGGGCTCTATGAGGAGAATTGCAGCCTCAGGATTGGTGGAAGATCTATTAACAATCTGCGTTATGCAGATGACACAACCCTGCTTGCTGAAACTGAGGAGGACCTCATGCACTTGCTGCGAAGGGTCAAGGACTGCAGCCTTCAGTATGGACTAAGGCTCAATGTCAAGAAGACAAAGATTCTCGCCACTGGACCAATTAGCAGCGTCAGGATGGATGACGAAGCGATTGAGATTGTTCACAGCTTCAGTTTGCTCGGCTCCACAGTTAACACTCTTGGTACCAGCAGTGAGGAAATCAAAAAGCGTATCACGATGGGAAAGTCTGCTGTTAGGGACCTCTCAAAGGTATTCAGGAGCAACAGTGTCTCTCTGGAGACTAAGGTGCGCCTGACACAGGCCATGGTATTTGCAATCGCTTGTTATGCATCAGAGAGTTGGACAATGACTAGGGAGGACAGAAGGAGAGTGGATGCTTTTGAGCTGTGGTGCTGGAGAAGGGTACTGAATGTACCATGGACTGCCAGGAAAACAAACAGATTCATCTTGGAGAGGATTAAACCAAGCTACTCCTTGGAGGCAAGGATTCTGGGGCTTCGTCTGACATACTTTGGACATGTTGCCAGGAGGAACGGGTCCTTGGAGAGGGGCATCATGCTTGGGAGGGTGGAGGGACAGCGCAGGAGGGGAAGACCCTCTATGAGATGGATTGATTCGGTGACTGGGGTAATCGGGATGGGTGTGTCAGAGGCGGTGCGGTTGGCGCAGGACAGAGCAGGGTTTAGGGCTGTTGTGCATAGGGTCGCTATGAGTCAGAAACGACTCAACGGCACATAACAACAACAACAACATTAAAAATTTTACTATAGAAAATTTCACAGCTATGTTTATTGGTAATACACAAATGTTCGTATTATAAATGTAATGTATGATATTTAAATTATTAATATCTTCTTTTAAAAATACCCCTTTTTATTACTGAGGTTTTATCCCTTCCATATAAGGAAGTGCTCAACATTGTGAATCTAGTCTTAAAGACCATCCAAGGACACAGTACATACTTACTTAGAGAATATGCACACCAAAAGGAAGAGGTTTTTCTTGAAGTTGCCTATCAGAATCTATTGAAAATTTCTGGATAAATGCATATACAACTCAGATATGCCAAAACAGAAGACCTTTATGTATCTTTACCAAATTTAAAAAAAAAAAACATTTTTCCAAGCATAGTATTTCCATTTTTAAGACTGAAAAACTGTTAATGCTTCCTTAACCTAAATCAATTCAGAAATCTTAGAGAGGGCATAAACCTCTTTTAAGTTTTACCAAACACAGAGAAATTAATTTAAAATATGGTGAACAGTAAAAGGGGTCAAAACCTCAAAACTATTAGTAAATTGAGGCTGTTCCATTCTTATACCATCTGACTCTCAGATAAGTATTTTTTATAAGGTTTATACTACTCTTGTTATTCCATGAGATTCTGAAACAGGTTAAAGAGGCAGATGCTTAAAACATCCAAACTCTATTACTTTCATAATACTGAGAGATCGGACTGTAAGTCTATTCGCATAGCGTCAAACTTACAGATGTCCATGAAAAGACTAATTTGCAATTTTCTTCTTTTAAAAGGAACGATACTTCTGATTCAGTACTGCCATGTAAAAGAAATTTATCCTTTGAGTATAACAAACATATAGTTTTCCCATTTATTTACATCATGCTGGAGAAGTTTTAGTTCTGATTAAAAATCTGATATTTTCAACAGAATACAGTCTTTCAATTAGAGTCTATGACTTCTCATTTCTAAATTCTGTGTGAGAGCCATCAGAAGTTACAGAATTTGATGCATACCTACTATATGAACCAGTTTTCCCATGGTGTAAGTGATTTCCATTTAAAACTTGTATATTGTTATGTATTGTGATGTTTTTTTATTTAAATCTCCTTACTAATCTTTTCTTTAAGAGGATTTTACAGAAATATCCTAACTTCCTTTCCTTCCTTCCTAAAGCATCATCAATACTTTAATAACTAACAAATTCTGAGGTATTAATCAGCCATGGCTTTGAAACAATTAGGTAATGAGTAGATATATTAGCTCAACTTAGCAATTAAAGTCTGAAGTAAATTTATAAACTGATGGACATGATACTATTTGCTACATGCAAATAATTTTCTCACTAAATTTTTTGGTAAAATTGTTGTAAAACTTCGCATCTTAAGAAATAAAAAATTTTAGGAAATAAAGATCAAGTCTATTGTACATAAAAAAGGGTGTTCCCCAATTTAAACAAATTAAATGAATAGAATATCCTTTTCTTGTATACTAATTAGCATAAATTAAGAGGAGAAAAATAAAGATTACACAGTACATTATTCTCTAGTAGCATTACCTAAAAATTATTATTTCATTCTTCTGTTCTCATCTTGGAAAACTAAAGCAAGAATCAGAATATATGTTTTGTGTGTCTTTTCTCCAGGTCACAGAAATTGTTATACAAGTACCCACCACCCCATACACAATCTAACTTAAACATGGTCTAGATCAGACATAAAATCTGATTTAATTTAGAATTTTA